CTTGTGGTTTCTGCATTGGCAGACAGATTATTCACCACTGACCCACCTGGGAAGCCCTAATTAACCTAAGTCTACCATCAAATAACATTATAGCACTTCACAAGTAGTGCAGAGACTTACAACACAGTATTTCTATTGCCTCCAACTCATCCCTTGTGACATTAATGTCATCCGTTTCTCTTACACATATACTACATATTACTTTAAAAAACAATTATTTCAGATCCATTAAGATTAAGAAAAATAAGATTTTGTTTTATGTTTTCCTTCTCCAATGCTCTTTCTGCAGATTCACATTTCTATCTACAGAATTTTTTTTTTTTTTCTCCTTGAATAACTTGTTTTAACACTTATTTCAGGGCAGGTCTGTTGCTGATAAATTCCCTTAACTTTCATTTATCTAAAAAGTTCCTATTTTTCTTTTATTTTTGAAGAACAATTGGTGGAGTTCCCTCCCCTCCCAATACAGTAAATATTTAATTCTATTTCCTCCCTCTGTGTATGATTTCTGATGAGAAGTCTGCTGTAGTTCTTTGTTTTTCTTGGGGAAAGTGACCTGCATCCACCCCCAGCTTTTTTCAGGATTTTCTTTTTGTCCTTGGTTTCCTGCAGTTTGAAAATGATATGCCAATATGTATATTTTATGATACTTTTCTTGTTTGGTTACCCCAGAGCTTCCTGGACCTGTGGTTTGGCATATTTTATTATTTTTACAATGTTCGTGGCCGTTATGAAAATATTTATTTTGCTCTGTTCTTTATGCATCTTCTGGTATTCTAAATACACATGTTGGACTATTTGAAATTCTCCCACAATTCTTAGATGTTCTTTTCTGATTTTTTTTTTTTTTCATGTCTTTTTCTCTTTGTGTTTCAGTTTGGAAACTTTTATTAATCTATCTTCAAGCTCAGAGATCTGTCCTTGGCTGTCTAGTCTACCAAAAAGTCCATCAAAGGCACTCTTCCTGTTACCATATTTTCGCTTTCTACCATTTCCTTTTGATTCTTTCATAGAGTTCTCCTCTCTATGTTAGCATCAGAGAAGAGCCCCTCTGCCAGGTGAAATAAGGCTCTGGTGAAGTTTCTCCCATTGGAGAGAAGGCATTTGGTATGGAGACCACTCTGGGAACATTTCACACTGGTTACTCTCCCTCTCCCCGTCTTTTCAGAGCCAACAGGACATCATATTGGCTCCGCACTATGAGAATCTGGTGGGATTTCTGGAGTAGAAGTGTGAGCCCCTCCTGATTGCAGCCCCAAGGAGTTTTTCAAACTAGTTTATTCTCAGGTTCTAGCAATTCATCAATATCACCACTTAGTGTTCCAACCATATCATGGCTTTTGTTCTAGGAAACGCAGCTTTGGTTGTGACTCTCTGGATTTGCCTGATTCTCCAGATTGTGTGATGGAAGCTTGTCTTGTTGCCTTATTTCCTCCATGGGTCTAAAAAAAGTTGTTGATTTCTGATTCGTGTAACTTTTTTCTTGTTGTTTAAGGAGGGATGTGATGACTTCCAAGCTCTTCCATGTCAGAGCTGAAACTAGAGTTCTGGTTTTCTATTCTTATGGTAAATTGGCATTCTTTGCTTCCAGGGCTATGTTGTCCTTATAAAACAAATTAGAAAGAATTCCTTCCCCTGCTGTTTTTTGAAGTATTTTATCTGAAAGTGATAGTTTATCTTCCTTAAATGTTTGATATTAATAGAAACTGCTAAACAAAGCCAGGATTTTTTTTTTGAAAATATTTTGATATAAATTCAATTTCTTTAATAATTGAACTTGCCAGATTTTTCTATTTCTTCTTTTGTCAGCTTTTCAAAATATTCAAACTGCTTTTAAGTCTCTCTCTTTTTTTTTTTTCCAAGAAATGTTTCCACCTTATGGTATAATTTACTAACCTGAGATGGCTTACAGTATTCCCATTATCTGAACATATTGTAATAATAGCTACTAGTTAATTTCTGTTATAGCTAATTTTAGGGCTTCCCAGGTGGTGTAGTGGTGTAGAGGTAAAGAATCTGCCTGCCAATGCAAAGGATACAGGAGACACAAGTAATGGCAACCCACTACATTATTCTTGCCTGGAAAATTTCATGGACAGAGTAACCTGTTGGGCTTCAGTCCATGGGGTTACAAAGAGTCAGACATGCCTGATCATGCATCACATTGCTAATTTTATTTTTTCTTCATCATTCTTCACGTAGGGTTTCCACTTTCTGCCGTAAGGGTGGTGTCATCTGCGTAGCTGAGGTTATTAATATTTCTCCTAGCAATCTTGATTCCAGATTGTGCTTCATCCAGCCCGACACTCCACATGATGTACTCTGCATATAAGTTAAATAAGCAGGGTGACATTATACAGCCTTTACCTTCTCCTTTCCTGATTTGGAACCAGTCTGTTGTTCCATGTCCAGTTCTAACAGTTGCTTCTTGACCTGCATACAGATTTCTCAGGAGGCAGGTCAGATGGTCTGGTACTCCCCTCTCTGCTTTTGTGTATTTATTAGTTAATATGAAAGGTGTGTTTAACATTCCAACTATGACAGTAGATTTATCTGTTTCTCTCTTTAGTTCCATCAGTTTCGTTTCATACTTTTCAATGTTTTCTCATTAGGTGCATATTTAAGCTTGTTTTGTATTCTGTTGTTTGACCTTTTATTATTATACAACATATCTCTTTATTTCTAGTAACATCCCTTGTCTTGAATTATAACTTGTCTCATACTAATACAGCCATAGAAGCTTTTTAAAATGTGTTTATTGCTATGTGGTGTATATTTTCCATCTTTTTACTTTCAGTTTCTGTGCCTGTTTTTAACGTATGCATCTTGTAGAGAGCATATGGTTGGAATTTTCTTTCTGAAAGCAGTCATACAATATCTGTCTTTTAATTTGAGTACTTAGTCCATTTACCTTTAATGTAATTATTGGTATGGTTGGGTTAAAGTTTACTATTTTAACCCAGGCATTCTATTTATATAATTTTTTTTTTGTTCCTCTGTTTTCTCTTTTTTTGATGTCTACTTTGGGTTTAATTTAATATTCCTAGTGTTTCATTGGGGCTTCCCTGGTAGCTCAGTCAGTAAAGAATCTGCCTGCAGCGCAGGAGACCCAGGTTCAATCTCTGGGTCATGAAGATGCCCTGGAGAAGGAAATGGCAAACCTCTCCAATATTTCTGTCTGGAAAATCCCATGCACAGAGGAGCCTGGCAGGCTATAGTCCATGGGATCACAAGAGTGGGATACAATTTAACAACTAAACCACCACAGTGTTTCATTTATTTTCTCTCATGGTTTTTAGCTATACCTCATTATATTATTATTTTAGTGATTTCTCTACTAAACAACATATCACTCTCATTGGAGTCAACTTAGAATATTTTATCACTGCACAATTTGCACATCACACATTGAAGATATAAATATCATACAGCAGTATATGTACAACCTTCTTTTGTTCTAATTTATCAAATATTATCATTTTACATGGGCTATAAAGCACTTTATAGCATTTTTACTTCAATGTTTCACTTGTTTTCAAAGAGAAATTCATAGACAAAAAGGATAATTTATTTGCTCATATATTTAAGATGTCTTTGGCTCCAGTATTTTCTGAGAAGTCAATTTCATGCATACTTGTGGTCCTCTACATCCAATGTCTTGATTCCCTGTGTTTTCATTTCTTTGCCTGCCTTCTTTATGTTTGGTTTATGGCAATTTTACTATCATGTGTATAGGCATGGTTTTCTTTGAGTTTATTCTGGGTTTAATGAGCTTCTCAGATCTGTAGATTTTTTTCATCAAATTGCGACTTCAACCATGTATCATCACATATTTATTCCATGTCTTTTTTTTTACTCCATGTCTTTTTATCTCCCCTGTCTCTTTTGGGGACCCTATTTGCAGATGTTGGACTGTATGATATTTCCCCACGGGTCACTGAACTGATCATTTTTCTTCTATCTTTTTCTATGTATTATTCAGATTTGTTGATTTCAATCAAATTGTATTGAAGTTTTCTGACCATTCCTGCCATTTCCAATCTGACATCAAGCTTGTGAAAGTGAACATTTTCATTTCAGATATTGTTATTTTTCATTCTAGGTTTCAGTTTGCTTCTTTTTGTACTTGCCTTTCTCACCTGAGATTTTCCCATCTCTTTACTCATTGAGGCCATATTTTTCTTTAAGATCTTTATAGTATCTTTTCTATTATATATATTTATTTATATTTATTTTAATATATGTATATATTTATTATAGTATCTTTATTTCACTACCTTTTAATTCAAATATTTGGATCATCTTGGAGTCATTCTATTCACTACTTTATGATGCATTGTACTTTTCTGCTTTCCAACATGCTTATTAATTTTGCATTATTTTTGGAAATTTACAGGTGATAAATTATAAATAGCATAGATTGTATAGTCTTTTTTAATGTAGAGTTTTGTTTCAGCAGTGTGACAATTTACCAGGGGGGTCCTAGATCTTATCAAGGCTTGGCTTAGGCTTTCTTAGTACATGGTCCTTATTATTCTAAAGATATTTATTTTCTACTGTTTCAGCTGAGTGGCCAGGATTGATAAGTTCTTTCAACCCTGGTTGGGTTAGAACTTATGGCTTCCATGCTGTGCAGCATTTTGTATCTTTGTTTCACCCCCAATCTTTGTTAGCAGCACTCTCTGGCTGACCGCTCAACATCTTACTCTCTACAATGTAAAGTGAAGCCCTCGATCGAAGGACTTAGACAAGTTGAGACTAGTTTTCTCCTACAGAGGATGAGACGGTTGGACGGCATCACCAGTTCAGTGGACGTGACTTTGAGCAAACCGTGGGAGCTAGTGAAGGACAGGGAAGCCTGGCGGGCTGCAGCCCACGGGGCTGCCGAGTTGGACACAACTCAGCAACGGCATCAACAGCTCCTCCCAAACAAGCGTCTCTCTAACACTCTGTCCTGCAAATTACTCCACTGCTTTCGCAGCTCTCAATTCCGATTTTACCTTCTCAGCCAACTGGAACTGCATGGCTTCTGTTGGTCGTCAATTCCTTACTCTGGTTTAGGGAATCTGTCCTAGACAAACGCCGTGGTGACCATGGAACGCAGCTCTTGTGACATCCTTCTTCTCAGAAAGAATTCCTCTGCTGCCTATTGTCCAATGCCACAAGAAAAGACACTCTGTATACTTTGTTTGGTTTTATGGTTACTTAACAAGTTCGGGCAAGTCTGGTACAAATAAATCTTTCATAATGGAAATAAAAGTCCCAATTAAAGACCCACACTGTTATCTTTTAAAGAGAAGAATAGCTTCTGGAAGGTGATAATTCCAATCTTGTACAAGGGGATGTACTGATATATTTATTGCTGGTAAGCACTGCAGTACCTGAGACAAAACAACGATGACACCTCACTGTATTCAACAAAAAGGCCTAGGTAGAGGAAGCGTGATCTCTATTTTGGTCCTATGCCATATGTTCTCAAAGGTGGTCCTTGGCTTTACATCTAGTGTCTCCATTTCTTTGGTTAGAGCATCTGAATTCAAGGGCAGGCAATGAAGAGGTAAATCCAGAATTTGTATTAGGTAGCTTCATAAATATTTGTAATTAATTTTTCCTTCTTATTAAAAAAAAAGGAAAACCTGAAATGGTGTGATTTAACTTTATATGTTTCAATACATAATAGGAGATATGAAAATGTTTACAGTCATGTGATATTGACACAACCACTTTATTTGATTTTAAAACTTATCACCTTTTATAGTATGAAGAATAGTTGAAAGGATGTGGTTAAGCTATTGATATGAGAATTTAAAATTTGGGCTCTCTTTCTTTTATTAGTTTCTAGCTTTTATATTTGTTTTTACCTAAACTGGAGATTTTCCACATGAAATATATTTCATAGCAGTTTTTCTATAATCAACAAAATGAAAAAGACATGTGTTAAACACAGAATTCTACATAGCAAAGTATTTGGCATGGATCAGATTACAGTGGCCATTTTTAAACATAACAAAACCCATGTTTCCTCATTTGATTTTGAGTAAAGACTGAAACAGCTGGGTCCCATTCTTTTTCATTCACCCTGCAGACTCAAGAGTACAGTTTTTCAGCTGTCACTCTTAGCATTTTGTGATTTTTTAAAAAAATTTAACTCACTCCATTCCTTCAAATATTTCTACACATTTTCTTCTTAGTAATTGTACTATAATATATATATTGCAGATCAAGAATTCTCTTTTCTTCTTGCTTGGTATTATATATCAAAAAATTTGCCTTTAAGATTGTATTTTCTCAACTGACAGCTCACTTAAAAAACAACTCTATTCATGTATCCTGTGAAATTATCTACTAAACCAATCCCTCCCCAATCTTAAGAGTTATGTTTCCAAAAATCCCTACTGTGGGAGATCTACATTTTCTGTGCTCTATGTGATAGTAAAACTCGAGACTTGTGCAGTCTAAGTGCAACTATCAGAGCTCATATTAATAGTTTTTACTTTCACCAAAGTAAAGCAATGAAAATGTCCTGTTTCACTATATTTTACTTAGTAATAAAGTGTCCTATACTATTAAAATATGTAAGTCACTTGTTTGCAAAAAATGATGAATGTCCCTCTTCATCCTTAACTCAGTTATCTGTAACTGTGAACAACTTAATTCCAGTTAATGTATGCACTAAGGAGGGTTTCTTTTTACGTTTGATACCCCACGGTTGACTTCTTTATGACTCTATAGCTCAGACTGGTTGACTCCCTCCTTTCAAGTCTTCTGTGATCCCAGTAAGCCAGTGTGACTCATTAATGCTCAAAAAGATTTCTATGTATTCAGCATGATCTTCCACTCATTCTCACATCCTATTTTGTTTCACCCTGAGTTCCTTTCCTCTTAAATTCTCTCCAGAAAAAATTACTTATGATTCATGCATACATGATTTTCATGTAATGAGAATATGAGCTTCAGAAGGATTTGCTATACATACTTGTTCCCATTGTTTAGAGAACTTAGAAGGACATTATATTTTCGAATAACTCTTCAAATTTATTCTTATATTGCACATAGGACACACAGTCATTGAGTTCTTGTTTCATGAGTAAGTAGTCTTAAAGTTTTAGCCACCCATTCACACTATCCTTGCACTACTAATTCAGCACTTCATTTCCTTCTAGCTTTGTTTTACTAGCTGAAATTATTTTCCCTAGTTCATGGGCTTTTCTGTAGACTTTCCATGTATAGAATTTGCTTGTTCTTACAATTTAGAGAACTTAGATATTAAATTTTGATAAAAATGCAAGCAACCAACTAAAGTGGCAACATATAATAAAATATTGCAATGGGGATTTCTACAAATTAATTTTTCAGAACTTATGGTTATTAGTCTTGTGAAATATAAGTTATTTAATGATATTATTACTAGACCTGGAGGACACCCAAAATTTAGAAGCAAGTTAAATAATTTCCCTGCTCTAAATGAGTCCTAACAAAAAATTAAGGAAAAGATTTTTGATCAGTTATTTATACAGTTTTCATAGAAAATACACCATTTGATAACAAAACATGGGATGATTCTACTAAGAAGCCTGATGAACCCTCAGAACTGAGTACCCATCTCAAGTATATAGTGGCTTTATCAAAGTGCAGACACTCTGTGACGCTAGCTTAAGGTAAACTAGGAACTTTTCACATCACTTTAAAGATATTATCTTCATACCATTTGGCTACTGGTATCTTCATGGGTATGTTTGTCACTGAGATGTTGACACTGGTCATTACTACAAAATTACTTAATTGAGATGATGTTGATTGGTTTTATGGTAGTTGATGAGTTCTTGACTCCAAACTCATATTTAGTGGCTTACTCCACATGTATATCTAGATTTCCACATTCAGAACTCTACATGTACAAAACTGAACTCAGAGTGTATACCTTGTCTCAAATCTGCATCTCCTGTGGGCCTTTTTCACTTGTTTGTATTCTTATACATCAACATCATTCACAACCCACGTTTTCTTTCTCTACACACCAAGTCCAATGAAACTGCAAAGTCTCTTGACCACTATGATCTAAGTTACATCATTATTTCCTAAATTACTGAAATAATCTATTTCTTTCCTAGATTATAGAATAATCTATATTTAGATCTATCTATATAGATAGATTATAGATAGAATAATCTATCTCTTTCCTAGGAAATCTTATGAAATGTTAGGAAAAGAATTTCAAAGCTTGAGTCAAGAGTGCCTTCAGATGATTGTAACATCTATTTATTGATCTGGGCATTGTGCTTAGGACTTCACCTCATGGATTTGATTAGTCTTAATTCGCATTAAAAGATGATTACTAGCCCTATTTTACATTGCAGAGAACTGACACTTTAAAAAATATTTTTTCTCCGAGACCACATATCTTGTAAGTCACAGAGCTAGTGTTTGAACCCAGCTTCTTTAATTCTAAATCTGGACTTACACCTCCATGATGATTAAATCTTTGTGGCAATCTTAGTTATAACAACAACAAAGCTAAAGTGAAGGNATATCTTGTAAGTCACAGAGCTAGTGTTTGAACCCAGCTTCTTTAATTCTAAATCTGGACTTACACCTCCATGATGATTAAATCTTTGTGGCAATCTTAGTTATAACAACAACAAAGCTAAAGTGAAGGTTGTAGGGTGAGAATCTTTTATAAAATTTTTGATTATCTAGAAGGTAAACAAACAAAACTCACCAAACTCTAAAGTAATTGTGATCATTAAAATACCACTCTCAGGATTATTAGGGTAGTTGTTCTCCTTCTCTAATTCTGCCTATGCACATGGCAGAAACTGTGCGAGCTCTGATATTTTTCCCTACCTTCGCAGGTAGGGATTTTCATAGATGACTGCAGAAGACATGGGGGTCCTGGGTCTGGGGGTTAGACTATACCATTCATCCTTTTAGGCCCATTCTTAGTGAAACTTCTCTCATATCAGTAGGTTAGGATCTTTTAATAGCACATAAATATCTGTGGTTTAAATTCAATATGGGTCCTAATTTCAGACTATATATCAAAGGTATAGCAAGTCAAAGTAGTATCTTGTATGAATAGTGTAAGAACAGACACATAGAAAAATGGAACAGAAGAGAGCCCACGCACTGATGGTCAATTAATCTACGGCAAAGGAAGCGAGCATATCTTCAACAAGTAAGTGGTCTGGAGAAAACTGGACAGCCAGATGTAAAAGAACAAAATTAGAACATTTCATCATGCCCTATCCAAAAATAAATTCAAAATAGATTAAAGACAAAAATATAAGAACAGAAATCATAAAACTTCTGGGAGAAAACATAGACAGAAAAATGACATAAATCAAAGCACTATTTTTGGATCTGTCACCTAAGGAGATAGAAATGAAGGAAAAGTAAACAAATGGGACCTTAGGTTGAACGTCAAAGCTTTTGCACAGAAAGGAAGCCACTGACAAAATGAAAGGCAGACCTACAGAAGGGGAGAAAATATTTGCAAATGGTATGACTCACAAGGGGTTAATATCCAAAAATATACAAAGTCCGTACAACTCAGCATCAAAAAACAAAAACCAAAACAAAAAAACACAAACAACCCAATTTTTTAAAAATGGGCAGAACTCTAAATAGACATTTTTCTAAAGAGGACATACAGCCAGCCAACAATCACATAAAAGGATGTTCAATCTTGATAAACATCACAGAAATGCAGGTCAATGAGACATCACCTCACACCTCTCAGAATGGCTATCATCAAAATGACCAGTGAGGTAAAAAACAGTCAACGCCAGTGAGGATTGGAGAAAAGGAAACCTTGTACACTATTGGTGGGAGTATAAGTTGGTGCAGCCACTACGGGAAGCAGTATAGAGGATCCTTAAAAAAGTTAGAACGACAGTATGATCCAATAGTCATGTGCGGATGTGAGAGCTGGACCATAGAGAAAGCTGAGTGCCGAAGAGCTGATGCTTTTGAACTGTGGTGCTGAGAAGACTTGAGAGTCCCTTGGACTGCAAGGAGATCCAACCAGTCCATCTTAAAGGAGATCAGTCCTGAATATTCATTGGAGAGATTGATGCTGAAGCTGA